CATCTACAAAGAATGAAACTATAACCTCAACTTAATTGATGCTGCGTGTTTAAAGTATTGCCTTTGCTTTACTTCCTTGTAGTTGGCCCCTTTCAGGTGATAACACAGGAATTATTCTATGATTTTCATTATTTGTACATGCCAACATGGTAACATAGATTTTTTAATGGGCATCACTTCATTGCAAGCTAATTTATTAATCCAATGGTGCTGATGAAACTAATCAAGAAGCTTTTTTGGTAAGTTTGGTATTGCCTTAATGATTTTCTAGTCATTCAAAGAATGTACTAGGCTTTTATTTTTCTTAACTAATGTATAGAGTTTTGTTTGTGTTTGTTTTTTCATGGTAACAGAGGGATAATTCAAAATTATTTTTCTGGGAGTATTCTAGGATTTTATTCATGATTGTCCTTTTCTTAGATTACAGATAAAATTAGTTCATGTCTCCTAAACATACCTTCTGGGAAATGTGGATTAAGGAGCCAACAAAGATTGGCTACCTTTCAAAGGAGAAAAATTATGAGAGACAGTTGTAGGAACCTAGAGTATTGGGGGTGGTCAGACCTTAGACATTGTCATTTTAAGACACCAAGAAATTCTGACTTAATTTTGGTAACTGGATTTTAATTTATAATATGTTTATTTTTAGTATATTTTAGGGAATTTTCAGGCAAATAGGAGAGATTATTATTATGACTAAGGAAAATGAAAGGGATAGATGCAGAAAGCAGACTGTAAAGTCAGAAGTGATAGAGATGTAAATTATTTCCAGAAGTGATAGTATTGCTATATTTATACAAAACTGGCTATCAATGAAATTTTCTTTTTTTATAAAACTGATTCTTTGTTTTGGGTACATAATAAGATCACATCTCTTTGAATATTTAAATTATTGTGACTTCATGCCCGCATCTTTCTTGCAACCAGGAATATTTTATTCTGTCCCTTGAGTTTCTCTTCCTATCATTGGCAGTTTTTGTGGGCAAGGATCAGTACTAGATTGCTAGCCTCATCACTGGAGACATAAATAAGGCTGCTTGAATCTGGAGGATTCTGTAACTATCAGGGATTCTGTGTACTACAGTGGATGCCACTACACTGCTGTTAACAAGGCATTGTCCTCTTCTGCATGAGAATTTGACCGTCTGTTAACTTTCTAGCTCGTTTCCCTTGGAAACCTATTCATGGGATGTGTCCATGATATTACTAGGCACATTGCTTGATGATTGACTAATTGCATCTGGACTGGAAAGAATTGTAATTAAACTAAGATCTACCTGAGGGGGATGCCATAACTTTCGGCTTCCTTGAGTAAGGTGGCATTTAAGTGGCATTTCCCTTACAGAGGCTTCTGTGGGTTGGGGAATTGCTAAGCCGTGGTAGCTCGTGCATATACCCAAAGTGCATCTCCTTTCTTTGCTCCTGAGCTGTCACCTGGGGGTGAGGCTTCTGCACGGACTTCTGCAAGGACTCCCACTGAAGACAAGCATCTGAAACTGCCCTGCTGGCAAGTCCCATTTCCTGTCCTAAAGCTTTCTGAATGAACCTGAGGCCAAGTATGAACTTAAGAGGACCTCCCGGTGGGCATTGCCATCCAGAACTAAGATTCACCTTCTTGGAGACAGAAAACTTCAAAACAGCCATAGATGCTGGGTACTTCACAGTCAAGTGGACCTTGACTCCATGTTTTCACTTATGCATGGCACAGCTCTCTTTTATGTAAATACAGTCATTTTGTTACACAGCATGCTGCACTACTGAGAAGCTGAGCTCAGTCAAAAGAGTTTCAGCACCAACTGCATGCTGTCTGCAGAACAAGCTTCCTCCTGAGAAAAGACTCTGGTGTTCTGGTGTTGGGTGAGCTCACAAGCCTGCATGATGTGTTTGTTTTCCAAGCTCTTTGGGGTCCTGTCTTTCAGTTTTAACCAGATTAGGATTACGCTGGTTTCCTAGAGATGTTCAAATATTGGTAAATCTCAAAAGACAAAGGTTTCCACCCAGGAAACTCCTGGTTCCGTATGAAATTTTTTTCCAGTTCCTCCCTCTTCACTGAACTTCGTTTTTCACACACTAGGAGTCTGAGAAACTACAATCTTTGTCAAGCCAGATAAGCCTTCTGTTCAAGAACAGTGGGTACCTGCTTGCCTTTGATCTACAATACTAAAAGAGGCTTCCAAAATGTTTTTTTTCCTGAGAGCACTTGATGTTTTCTCTAATTGAAATTTACGTAGCTTCTCTTACTATAATTATCAGCCCCCCCAAAAAAGTTTTCTCTGATCTGCCATCCTGTTACTTATGTAAATTCAATCTACTAG